GGGGGCGGGACTCTTGGTGACGAGACGCCGGGGAGGGGGCAGGCGTTCATTGATAAAAACGCTGGGCTCCCCCGGGCGCGAGCGCAGCGTAGCAAATACAGGCAGCGCCACGCGCGGCCGGGGCCGGGCGGAACCGAGAAGAAGCCGGGCCCGCGCTGCGACGCGCCGCCCGCATGGAGCCCGCCACTGGTTTCCTGTCCCCGCGCCCCTTCCAGCGTGCGGCCGCCGAGCCCGCTCCCCCGGCCGGGCCCGGGCCGCCTCCGAGTGCCTTGCCCGGACCTGAGCTGGAGATGCTGGCCGGGCTACCGACGTCAGACCCCGGGCGCCTCATCACGGACCCGCGCAGTGGCCGCACCTACTTCAAAGGCCGCTTGTTGGGCAAGGTGGGCCGGGGGACGTCCGCGGGGTGGTGATGGTGGAGGTGGGGGTCTCGGCCGGCCTCATTTCTGGCACCAAGCCGGGCGTGGCCACTTGACCCCCAACGCGGGGACGCCCGCGGGCCAGAGTCGGCCCCCCTGGAACACCCAGCCTGACGCCCCCTCTTCACAGGGGGGCTTCGCCCGCTGCTACGAGGCCACTGACACAGAGACTGGCAGCGCCTACGCTGTCAAAGTCATCCCGCAGAGCCGCGTCGCCAAGCCGCATCAGCGCGAGAAGGTAGGTCCAGGCTCAGCGGGCGAGGGGTGGGGTGGGGACGGTGGCATGGGAACCATGGAAGGATGACGACCCTGCGCCCTCATCGCAGATCCTAAATGAGATTGAGCTGCACCGAGACCTGCAGCACCGCCACATCGTGCGTTTTTCGCACCACTTTGAGGACGCTGACAACATCTACATTTTCCTGGAGCTCTGCAGTCGAAAGGTGAAAGATGGTGATACCCGCAGGGATGAGGGTGAAGGAGAGAAGAGAGTCTTAAGACCCAAAGCTCGGGCCTTGTTTCTTCCTCTGGGAGCACAGATGGAGGGGAAGGGGGAGGGAGGGCTCACCAGGGGCTGAGGCAGTGGCTCTTTGCAGTCCCTGGCCCACATCTGGAAGGCCCGGCACACCCTGTTGGAGCCAGAAGTGCGCTACTACCTGCGGCAGATTCTTTCCGGCCTCAAGTACTTGCACCAGCGCGGCATCTTGCACCGGGACCTCAAGTTGGGTGAGACTCCTGAGCCTGGAGGATGGGAGGTTGGGGAGGGAGGGAGGAAGGAAGGAAAGAATCTGACACACCTCTCTTTCCCCATCTAGGAAATTTTTTCATCACTGAGAACATGGAACTGAAGGTGGGGGATTTTGGGCTGGCAGCCCGGTTGGAGCCTCCGGAGCAGAGGAAGAAGTGAGTTTTGAAGAAAGGAGCCTGTGTGTGATACAGATGACATGCGTGACAGACAGTGCATATGTATGTGGGAGGCAAGGTGACTGCTTGATGTGTGCATGAGATAAATGGGAAGGGATGAGGGGCTGTTTATGCATGTGTGAAGGTGGAGGTGGCAGCCTGTGTTACCGGGACCAGTGGAGAGGGGTAGAATCCTATAGGTGTGTGACACAGATAGGGTAGGTGACCCTGAGTCCCTGAGACAGATAGGGGTGTACAGATTCTTGGAGGCATATGACTTACCCTTCGTGTGGATAGGGGAAGGTTACAGGCAGCGTGTGTGTGTGTTTGTGTGTGAGAGACAGACTGAGAGTGTGGGAATGGTAGGATATGACACCGGGTGTAAGAAGACCCTGCTGTGGCCATCGTACTTTGTGTGTGTGACACAGACAGCATATGTGGCAGATAAGTGTTTATGGGGGTTGTGACAGCTGGTGTTGGTGTGTGTGTGGCACAAACCATGGGAGGTGACAGCCTGATGACTGTCTGAGAGACAGGAGTGAGGAAGGGGGAAGGGATCAGCTGTGGACTCTCTGTGTTGACCCTGGAGGAGGGGACTGGGCTGGGGGTCAGGCCCTCCCCCTGTCATGAAGAGCAGCTGAGCAGCTGGGCCAGGCGGGTGGGCGGGGACTCAGCTGCCATCCCTGGCATCCATTGTCCCAGGACAAGCAGGAGTTCTCTGGCCTTTGGTGACAGGCAGCTGCTTTGTCTGGACTCACAGTGGGGGAAGGGGTGGGGGGGCTGCTGGGCTGGGTCTCAGCCTTTTCTCCTCCTCCCCACCCTCTTTCAGGACCATCTGTGGCACCCCCAACTATGTGGCTCCAGAAGTGCTACTGAGACAGGGCCATGGGCCCGAGGCGGATGTGTGGTCACTGGGCTGTGTCATGTGAGTCGCAGGGTCCAGGTTCGGCAGCAGACAGGTGGTGGGTGTGTGGGTGGGGTATCCCCTCCACTTTACTCCTGACCCCTTGGCCCTGCCCTATAGGTACACGCTGCTCTGCGGGAGCCCTCCCTTTGAGACAGCTGACCTGAAGGAGACGTACCGCTGCATCAAGCAGGTTCACTACACGCTGCCTGCCAGCCTCTCACTGCCTGCTCGGCAGCTCCTGGCTGCCATCCTTCGGGCCTCACCCCGAGACCGCCCCTCTATTGACCAGATCTTGCGCCATGACTTCTTTACCAAGGTCTGTGGCTCCCCAGACCTCTAAGTCCATCTGCGTATTCCCAGGGATTGAAAGAGTGCAGGGGACAGGGCCCCTGGAGCCCCTCTTCTCTGTTCACACGGCTCCCCTCCCTAGGGCTACACCCCCGATCGACTCCCTATCAGCAGCTGCGTGACAGTCCCAGACCTGACACCCCCCAACCCGGCTAGGAGTCTGTTTGCCAAAGTTACCAAGAGCCTCTTTGGCAGAAAGAAGAACAAGAGTGAGTCTGGGGTGTCAGTGGGTTGAGGGGGCAGAGCAGCAGAGCAGCTTGTCCCATTCGTCTCGGGTGTGTGAGTGTGGGTGCCTGGTAACTCCTGGGGAGAGCATGTGCAGTACAGGCACTTGGGGAGGCCAATCTCTGTGTCATCCCTGTGGGAAGTGGAGGGGCTGGGCAGGATACTGAGGATGGTATCATCCTTCACCTCCAGGTAAGAATCATGCCCAGGAGAGGGACGAGGTCTCCTGTTTGGTAAGCGGCCTCATGCGCACGTCGGTTGGCCATCAGGATGCCAGGCCAGAGGTGAGGTGCTCACGTGGACACTGTTCCCCTGACTCACCCCCACCCTAGCAGCTGAGGGAAGCCCAGGATAAAAGGCTGCTGAAGCATCCAACCTCGTGGTGGCCTAATTGGCTGTGTGTCACCAGCCTGGCGGGGCTGACCTGGGGTGCCCTGGGAGGCAGGGCAGGGCCGGGCCATGGACTCAAGGGTTTGGATTTTGGGGCCTGTCTCACTCCCTTTCCCTGCCCAACCCTCCAGGCTCCAGCAGCTTCTGGCCCAGCCCCTGTCAGCCTAGTAGAGACAGCACCTGAGGACAGCTCACCCCGTGGGACACTGGCAAGCAGTGGAGATGGTGAGGAGCCAGGGAGGATGAGAGGTGCCAGAGGTTGCTGGAGCTGAGATCAGGGACCAGAGGGAAGGAGTGGGCAGAGGGGCCTGGCCTGGGTCCTGGGGTGCTAATTCCTAAATCTCCGTGCCCTGTCTCCTTCAGGATTTGAAGAAGGTCTGACTGTGGCCACAGTAGTGGAGTCAGCCCTCTGTGCGCTGAGAAACTGTGTGGCCTTCATGCCCCCAGGTAAGGCTGGGGTCTGGTACATGCTGCTGTCGTGGGAGTTCTGTGGCTGGGAGTTCTGCTCCTGGCAGCCAGGAGCAGGTCCTGACTCCCTCCGTTCCCATGACAGCGGAACAGAACCCGGCCCCGCTGGCCCAGCCAGAGCCTCTGGTGTGGGTCAGCAAGTGGGTTGACTACTCCAATAAGTTCGGCTTTGGGTATCAACTGTCCAGCCGCCGTGTGGCTGTGCTCTTCAACGATGGCACACATATGGCCCTGTCAGCCAACAGAAAGTAAGTGCGGTTATGGGGTGCCTTGTATTCAGGCCACTAACCCAGCAGGGCCGCACCCTCCTGCGTGCTCCTGGGCTCAGGGGTCTGGGTTTCTCAGGGGAGGGGCATCGGTGTAGGGCTCCCTCTGACCTCTGCCTCCCCATTCTAGGACTGTGCACTACAACCCCACCAGCACAAAGCACTTCTCCTTCTCCGTGGGTGCTGTGCCCCGGGCCCTGCAGCCTCAGCTGAGTATCCTGCGGTACTTCACCTCCTACATGGAGCAGCACCTCATGAAGGTGTGAGCGCTGGGGCTGTGGTACATTGAAAACTAACCCATCCTGAGCTCTCTGATTCCCCCTTGGTGGTGGTGGGGGTGCTCCAAGCTAGAGGATAAGACATACACTAATGGGGAGGGGGCTGTCTCACGCTGGATCAGTGACCTGCTCCGATCCTGCTCCCAGGGTGGAGATCTGCCCAGTGTGGAAGAGGTAGAGGTACCTGCTCCACCCTTGCTGCTGCAGTGGGTCAAGACGGACCAGGCTCTCCTCATGCTGTTTAGTGATGGCACGGTCCAGGTAAGAGCCTATCCAGGAGTTTCGGGGAAGGTCTGGGAGGCCCAGGGTGCTGGGGAGGAAGCTGGGTCTGGAGCCTAGGTCCTGACCACTGTCATGCTCCTGTGTGCAGGTGAACTTCTACGGGGATCACACCAAGCTGATTCTCAGTGGCTGGGAGCCCCTCCTTGTGACTTTTGTAGCCCGAAATCGTAGTGCTTGTACTTACCTCGCTTCCCACCTTCGGCAGCTGGGCTGCTCTCCAGACCTGCGGCAGCGACTCCGCTATGCTCTGCGCCTGCTCCGGGACCGCAGCCCAGCCTAGGACCCAAGCCCTGAGGCCTGAGGCCTGTGCCTGTAAGGCTCTGGCCCTTGCCTTTGTGGCCCTCCCCATTCCTTTGGTGCCTCACTGGGGGCTTTGGGCCGAATCCCCCAGGGAATCAGGGACCAGCTTTACTGGAGTTGGGGGCGGCTTGTCTTCGCTGGCTCCTACCCCCTCTCCAAGATAAGCCTGAGCCTTAGCTCCCAGCTAGGGGGCGTTATTTATGGACCACTTTTATTTATTGTCAGACACTTATTTATTGGGATGTGAGCCCCAGGGGGGCCTCCTCCTAGGATAATAAACAATTTTGCAGAATTGGACTCCCCCTCACTCGCAGTAGAGCCCGTGGACCGTGGCCACCGCGAAGAGCGAGGTGTTGGTATAAGAGACCGAGGCCAGCCCATCGCGCGCCACGTCCCAGAGTGCGCGGCTGACCACGTGAATGCCCTGGCCCGCTCGCGGCCCCAGCACCACGCTGCACACCAGCTTGTACCGCGGCGGGCTAAGCTCGCGCAGGCGAACGTGCACCTGCTCGCAGAGCTCCTGCACCAGCCTCGCGGCCTCGGCGCTGGAGTAGCACGCGTCGCGCAGCCCTGCGGACAGTGCCGCCTCCAGGGCACGCTGTGCGCGCGCAGCCTCCCAGCGCTCCCCGGGCACCGGCTCCGTGCGGTAGGAGGGCGCCACCTGACGGGCGGGCGCCAGAGGCAACCCTGAGAAGCTGACCCGTGAGCCCAGAGGGGGCACCGGGCCCAGGGATGGCCGCCGACCCCCAGGACCCGCGCCTGGCCCGGCTAGCGAGTTGAGACGGGAGAAGGACGTGGCCACGCCCAGCATGGAGCCCCGGCGGGAGGCCGGGCCAGGACCTGGACCTGCCGGTCGCGCCTCATCAATGCTGGGCAGGCGGCCTCGGGGCCGCACTGGTGAGGGTTTCGGCCCGTAGTCTTTGGCATTCTCCTCCTCCTGGCGTCCCGGCGGCAGAGGCCTGCTGGCCATGGACCTGCTGGCTAGAGGACCCACACTCAGGGTGGCCTTCCTTGGGCATCTGTCTACCCACCCCAGCCTCCTGCTCAGTGATGTCAAGGGTTTTTACCTTCTACTCCCTTCTTACCTGTGTTTTAGAACAAGTGGATCAGATAGTCCCAGGCTGCCTGGGTTCCTAGGTGCTGAGAAGGTTAAAGGTTGTTAGACACATGAGCAAGGGACAGGAGGCTGCTGGGACTGGGATCCTGGGCTAGTCCCTGCCTGCTGAGCTCCTTCTCTGGGCACTATGGAGGTTAGCCAGGTACGCTCAGAGTCTTAGAGACTGCCAGTTCTCCCTTCCACCCTACTTCTCAGCCTGGACTATGGAGGCAGTGCCTCCAACCCCTAACCAGGAAAGACTGACAGATCACCTCTTTCAACTCCACAGATCCTTCCAGCCCTGGGGGTGTTGAATCCAGTCATCTTCCACCCAGATCTACTCTAGGGTGGCTGGCACAAAGGTCTCCCCTACACCTGGCCCAGGCTGAGGGCAGACGACTTGTGAAGCCCCTTCCACCTTCTGCCTTTGGCATCTGATCCCACTTCCTCCAGAATCAGTTCTGGGATGGCTGCCCTCTGCTCCTGAAACTCCCTCAGGCACCTGAGTCACCTGCAGGCTTTGGCTTCTGAGTTCTGTCAGGCTCCACAGCCCTAGCCCCACTGGCCTGAAGGGCAAGTGGGAGGGGAAGGACCTGTGTTGTGGAGTTGCCATGGGTTGCTGGAGCAAACACTCCTCCCTCCAAGGATCCCTCCCTCCAGTCCGGCTCTGGCTTAACCTGAGAGCCCTGTTAACTGTGAGCATGTGCTGCGCGTGGGGTCATCAGGGAGAGCGGCCGACAGGGTCTTGCAGCTCAGTGGCAAACTTCCTAAGCGCAGGCGACAGAGGGGCAGATGTAGAGGGAGGCTGTGGTCAGAAAGGCTTCGTCCTACCCCAGGGCGCTTGAGCCAGGGCCCGTTTTCTCCCCTTGTGGAGACTGGCCATTATGAACAAGTCACAGAGGCCTAGGATAGGGGGAGATCTTGAGGCTGCGGGGGCGGTGGCTCAGGAATCCAGGGTCTGGGCCCACAGGAAGGAACACGTCATGGCTCTGTTGTCTCCCCGTCAGTCAGCCTCGACAAGGACAAACATTTCCGCTCCCGGCGCACAGTTAGGGTGGGGCTTGGATGACTTCCTCAGTTCAGGGCTATGTGCGGGGGAGGGGAGGTCCATTGGCTCAGCTGGTAGGAACCAGGCCTTACAAAGTGGCAGTGACTCGGCGGTGAACACCGAGTCCAGCCTCGTGACCCTTGCTGACCCAAGTGTCCTGGGGCTTGTCCCTAGCTGGCTACACCTCTTGTGTGCCCTAGTACCTAGATTTCCCCAGAGGCTGTGACACCTCTGCCAGAGCTGACAACTCATGTGACTCCCCCTCTGGCGGGGACGGGACTGTCCCCTCCCAAACAAGCCAGGTCTGGGCCCTGACCCATCTATGGGGGCGAGGATTTTCCCTGTTGAGTGGGGGATTCCCAGGCCTGGCTAAGCAGATCCTGACCCTGTGTGCCTGTGGAGGAGGGAAGGGTTATGAGGGTAAGGAGTTTGAACTCTGAACCTAGGGCAGGCTCGGCTTCGGGGGCTAAGACCCTCATACGGCGCTTAGTGCCCCTCTAAGGGCTGAAGTTTTCCCTGGGCCTGCCTGGGAGATGGGTGGAGTCTCTTCTCAGGCCCGCTCCAGTTTCCATGGAAACCCACAGGCTTCCCACCCGGCGGCTGCCTGGGCAGACTCCCAGCCAGGGCCTCTTTCGCCGCCGCCAGCCAGCCAGCCTCTTCCCAGGACCATAGGCCACTCCAGCCTCAGCTTCTCCCGGTCCCCTCCCTGTGTCTGTTCCTGTCCCTGAGCCTCTGGCCCCTGATGCCTTCAGTAGTTTGGGCCCCTCCTGCTCCACTCCTAAACTTCAGCTTCTCAGCAAACAGGCCTCCCAAGTCCCTGCTTCTCCCTCTCGGGCCTTGCTAGCCTCACCAGCTCTAGGACCTGGCCAGGCCTCCTAGGCTCCCTCCTCCACCCCCACCCCTTCTCACCCATGGAGCCCCTGGGACTGGTCGTGCATGGGAAAGCTGAACCTTTTTCCGCAGCACTTCGAAGCCTCGTCAACAACCCACGATACAGGTGAGGGGTGGGCCCTGCCTGCGGGTTTTCCTTAGCTGGCTCTGAGGGCCCCAGGACTCTAAGGAGGCCCTGGTGAGAAGAGGCTGGGAATTAGAACTTGGCCGTCCTCCCTGGTGAACTCACGCTGTGGGGAGGTCAAATGTGGAACATGGCTGCTGGTCACTCAGTGTCTGTGAGACCCTGAGGGCCAGAGGCAAGGCTGGCAGGGTCCTGGGGGCTAGAGCCTGGAGCTGCTGTGTGAGCTCAGGCAAAGCCCTTCCTTCTTTGGACTTTGAGCTCCTGGCAGAAGAGAATGATTCTCGGCCCCTGGGATCCTGAGAGATGGTGGGTCATGATCCCCCTCCTCCCTCCACTCACTCAGCTTGGTGTTGAGGCCTCCCTGCTTGAAGAAAAGGAACAGATGACCTGTTCTGGGAACTGAGGCTTCACAGGAAGAACAGAGCTCGAGGGATTGAGGCTTCGAGTCCCTGACAGGAAGCCTCGGGAGTGCTGGCTGCTCCCTGCTGGCCAGGATGCCAGTGGTGTCTGAAACCAGGGGTAGAGTTTACAGGAGGCCGGGCTGCTCAGGAGAGCTAGAATGAAGCTCTCTGTCCTCATGGTCTCAGATCTGAGCTCTTCCCCAAAGGGTGGTGACTTCCATCACCCTGCTTCTTTGGGGTCACAGTCTGGTCTGGGTAATGTGAACGCCCCAGGCTTTGGACCTGGGACTAAGAGGCTCTAGGAGGCTCCAGCCTCATCTGCCTCCTATCCCCTGCCTTGTTTAGAGGCCCAGAGCTGGGGCCGGAAGTGATCATGAAGATGGAAACTGTGGTCTGGCTCATGATGGTGCATCACTGCTGTGTCTGTTTGCAGTCAGTGCGCACTCTGTGCCCCACACCCCCACACCCGCCTGTCTGGAGGAGGGCTGAAAAAAGCTGAGTTTGCAGCTGGTGGAGGAGGAGCCAAAAGAAGCTTCCCTTCCCCCAAGACTCAGGCTGGGGAGGAGAGGGAAAGGTGGGATCAACCGTGCTTCTGTTCGTCCAGATGCCCCTCAGTAATCAAGCATAGTCACCTCCTCTGCGACCTGAGGTTTAGGATTATTGTCCCATTTCATGGGTGAGAAACCTGAGATTCAAAGACAGGAAGTCACCAGGTGGCGCTGGGACTAGAACTCAGGGCTTTGGGTCCCAGACCTTCTGCTGGAGGGACCAAGCCCTGTCTCTTACATTCTGGATAGGAAACTAAGACCCAGAGTGGGCAAAGGCACAGCCCAAGTTGCACTCCAGGTGCTGGCCTCCTCTCCGCTGGCTCTCTGCCTCTCTCCCACAGTGATGTTTGCTTCGTGGTCGGTCAAGAACGGCAGGAGGTATTTGCCCATCGGTGCTTGTTGGCCTGTAGATGCAACTTCTTCCAGCGACTTCTGGGTACAGAGCCAGGCCCCGGGGTGCCTAGTCCTGTGGTGCTAAGCACTGTGCCAACTGAGGCCTTCCTGGCAGTGCTGGAGTTCCTATATACCAACAGTGTCAAGCTTCAGCGTCACTCTGTGAGCCCGCTGACCAGGGTCCTGGGTGGGAGAGGCGGGGGGTGCCAGAGGCAAGAGTTTGCCCATTACACTGTGGGCATAGGGCAGGGGAAACTCCCTTCCACTCCCCCCACCACCCACTCTACAGGTGCTAGAAGTGCTGACAGCGGCTGTGGAATATGGGCTGGAGGAACTGAGAGAGGTGGGTTTGTGTGCCAGGTCCATGTCTCATTTCCCTTGCTTCTCACTGGCTCACTACCCGCCCTGCCTCACACACACTCTGGCCTGGAGAGGAACGTGTGCCCACACAGAGAGAAGTATGTATGTCTCTCCCGTGTAAGTAGGGCATGTATGTGTGCCTGTGTGCAAAAGGATCCATGCATGCCTGCCCTGTGTGTGCTGTGGCCAAGAGGGGGTGATTATGGCTAGTGCTGTAGATACAAAGATGTCAGCCTTGATCCCTGTTCTCCAGAGAGGGAGAGGAGACAGACACATGAAAACTCTTATCTGGGTGGCATAAGAAGTGTGATAGAGGCCGGGTGCGGTGGCTCATGCCTGTAATCCCAGCACTTTGGGAGGCTGAAACGGGTGGATCGCTTGAGCCCAGAAGCTCCAGACCAGCCTGGGCAACATGGTGACACCCCGTCTCTACTAAAGGCACAAAAATTAGCCAGGTGTGGTGGCATACACCTGTAATTCCAGCTACTTGGGAGGCTGAGGCACAAGAATCGCTTGAACCTGGGAGGCAGAGGTTGCAGTAAGCTGAGATCGCATGACTGCATTCCAGCCTGGGTGACAGATCGAGAGTTGCTCTCAAAAAAAAAAAAAAAAAAAAGAAAGTGACAGAGAGGCGTGAATGGTGCCAAGACTGTATGGGGGACCTCTCCAGTCCCACCACTAGGGAGAGGAGAAGACTTCCTGGAGGAGGAAACATATGTGTTGGATCTGGTAGAACAAATAGGATTTTGTTCCTAGGGGAAGTGGGAAGATGGCATTCTAGTCACAGAGGCACCAAAGGAGCCAGTGAGACATTTGGTGTGTCTGTGTCTGGACTGTGAGGAGAGGGCAAGATGAGACTGCAGAGGACGCCAGGGCCTGATTCATGTAGGGCCCTCAAGCTTTTGGACTTCTTTTAAGCAGAGGGCAGTGGAGATTCACTGAAGGTTTCCGATAAGGGAGTGAAGAACTGGAAGCTCAGGGGAGAAGGGATTGGAAGAGGTGGAGAGGACTTGCTAGTCCATTCAGGAGGCGAGTGTAGCAGTCAAGAGATGAGAGATGTCACGGATGAAATTCAAGTTTCTGCTAAAAACAGAAGTATCCTTGAGTTAGGAAGGGAACAAGTGGAGGAAGATAAGCATCCTGAAAGAAGGAGAGAATTTTGCATGGCTTTTATCTGGTCTTGCTTAGTGGCAAATGTGCTAGAAGGTGGGTGGCTGGGCTTGGTTTTGCTAGTCTCCAGTTCCTGTGAGCCCGCTCTCTCAGGCTCTAGCAATTCCCTGCCTCCCTTGGCCTGGGAGGTCAGGATGGGGTCTGGGGCTGCTGGGTGACTCACCAATCCAAGCCTGCTCACTGCTTCTGGGGTGGAACTAGTGTCTTGGAGCAGGGACACCGCCACACAACCCACATTCATTTCTGTTCCCAGCTGTGCCTGCAGTTTGTGCTGAAGGTGCTGGATGTGGAGTTGGTTTGTGAGGCCCTGCAGGTGGGTGCTGCTGGACAGGCATGGGAGGAGTCTGGCTGTGTGTGTGGAAATGGGCTCCCAGGTGCTGGGAGCCTGGGCCTGCTGTGTCTGGCCTTGAAATAACTTGGGTACATGGTGGTGGTGGCGGTGCTCCAAGGAGGTTTACAAGATGAATTCTGTGCCTAGATATGTGGGATCCTGGGTATATCAGCAGGGTCAGGTGCAGGAGCAGCTGTTGAAGGGGCTGGAGGTCTTTGCTGGTCTTCTCTCTATCAGCGCTGGGGAATGGTTCTCAGCTGGACTTGAGGTAGGGGGAAGGGTGGCTGTAGACTTTAGAAGCCAAGTTGGGTCAGGCACGATGGCTCACACCTGTAATCCCAGCACTTTGGGAGGCCGAGGCGGGCGGATCAAGAGGTCAGAAGATTGAGACCATCCTGGCTAAAACGGTGAAACTCCCATCTCTATTAAATATACAAAAAATTAGCTGGGTGTGGTGGCATGCTCCCAGCTACTCTGGAGCCTGAGGC